AGGTTCTGGGACGAAATGGGTGAGGTTCTGGGACGAAATGGGTGAGGTTCTGGGACGAAATGGGTGAGGTTCTGGGCTGAATTGGTTTAGGTTCTAGGACGAAATGGGTCAGGTTCTGAGCCAAATTGGGTGAGGTTCTGGGCTGAAATGGGTGAGATTCTGGGAAGAAATGGGTGAGATTCTGGGCTGAAATGGGTGAGGTTCTGAGACGAAATGGGTGAGGTTCTGGGACGAAATGTGTGAGGTTCTGGGACGACATGGGTGAGGTTCTGGGCTGGTTAAAAAGCAGCCAAATTTCAAACAAACTCCAGAGTCCACAGACCTGTGGGTCCAGACCAACTCAACAGAAGAGAAGGTTTGGATCTCAGAAAGAATGAAGCCTTCCATTGAACAAAAACTTACACTGAAATATTTAAAGTAAACTTCAAAGCTGTCTGACAGCAGGAATTAACATAAACTTATGACCTGCTGTAAAAACCTCCAGCACCAAAACAAACTTTTCCAAGACAGAAATAAATTTAAATGCACCAAAACTCGCCTACAGTGAAATATGACTGATTCAGTTTTATTTCATTTAAGGAGCAATAAATACTTGATGGGTTTTTTGGGAGTTTTACCTTTTATGGAGGGTTTGTTTTAACCTTAATTATTAAACTAAATCCCACTTAGCCTAAGAAAATAACTTTGCACATCTTGAATAACAACAGAAACTCCTTCAGTCTAATGTTAAGTGTCAACATTCCTTTGTTTGGTCTGTAAATAGCCATCAGTCTGAGCTCTGAGAAGCATTATCTCAAAGAAATATGTCTGTTATGAAAAACAACATGAGGTGATGAATCAGTAGTTTAATACCAAACAAGTCAGGTGTGATGATTCATCAGGTGGAAAGACTGTAGATAATCACAGAGTGGGTAACAGTGGAAGGATAGTAGCCTTGGACCTGCTGGAGGGCGTCGCCAATGGAAGAACGAGGAGGCAGTGACCTGCTGGAACATGATGATGCCTCAACTTTAGCTGGTTTTTATTTTTCAGCCTCTCAGAGGGGTTTACTAGGAGGAACCGTTCAGCTTCCAGCTACCTTTCATGCAACTGGAGTGTTTAAAGCTGATAACATGTCCTTTATATGGATGGATGGATGGATGGATGGATGGATGGATGGATGAGAAGTACAAAGCATTAGTAATAAGGTCAGCTTATAAGAGGAACAGACACGTACCTGTGGAGGGTTCTCAGAATCTTCTGCTGGATATTTGAGGAGACGTAAAACTCTGCAGTGCTGCAAGAATAGAGAGACGTCCAGTTAGGATTTCAAATCTAACTGAGTCTCACTTTTACCTCAGAACTGGTATTAACCAGCAGAAAAGTCAGTTCTGATCTTTTAGATCCAGTGAAGCGGTTCTCATTTTACTGCAGTGACTGTTTAACCTCCCTAAAAGATGGAAACGAACTCATGAACAACCGGATTTAGACAACTTTACCTCAGAATGACAGTAGGAAGGAGAACAAAGTAAACAATCCAGATCTGACCTTCTGGGTCAGAAACCGGCTCTAAGAAGCTGCCTCTCCCCACAGGAAGGTGCTCATCTCTGGTTCTAGTTCTAGTTTGGACTTCTTTATGCAACAGCAAGTGAACAGGTTCAAGCTTTGTTTCCAGTATCAGGATGTTGCTCTAATCCAACAAGGTTCTGGATCCAGCTGAAGTAAGCTTCCTATGTAGAGTGGACCAGAGAGGAGCTCCACTGAAGTTGGAGTTGGTTTAAAGACACCTCACGGTCTCCATGGAGGAGCTGGATGACCACTGCTGCACTATTTACTGGATCTACCAGAGCCTCAGTATGTCAGGTAGAACAGAGCATAGCTGTGGAGCTCTGAAAAAACCTGTGGAAAATCTCTATGTGATTTATCAGGCAGGTTCTAACAGATTCCAGTTTTCTACAGTGAACAGAACACGGCCTCGAGATTGTGCAACATGTGAAGAGTGTTAGAGGAGCTCCGTGGGAACAGCTGGAGCAGATTTCAGAGCTTAGTGAGGGTTTGAATCCACCCAAAGGTGTGCATCAGAACACAAGTCAGGACAAGAGACAAAGACAACTGAATATCTGTTAGACAGGGTTTATACAGGAATGACTAACTCTAATTTAATGCTCTTTTTATGCTCTTAGAAATTATTTGAACCCTGGAGAACCCAAGAACCCTTTTTTTGTTTGGAAAATTTTGAAATACACATTAAGTGACCAGTATAAGTTCACTGAACACCAAAATATCCACTTTTTTAATTCTAACCCTTTTTTGTCAAATTTAGGATTTGTGCCAAATTTGACCCTTTGGGCTTTAGACGTATCATTTCAAAGAATTACAATAACAAACACTGTCTATGTAAACTATTTTATATTTAGGGAAAAATTCAAATAAACACACAGCTACACTTAAAAATTTTCTATTTCTTTTTTTATGTTAGAACTGGATTTCAAATATACAAACACTTTGGCCAATGGAAACCAGAACACAAGGCCAAAATTACGACACAAACACCATGGTCCTACCTTGTGCAAAAATCTGTTCTACTACACTAGACATTGTGGTAGTCTATGAAACAATTTCTTTTTTTTTTGTTTATGCAGAGAGGAACTGCACATTTTTCACAGTGCATTTAAGTTTTGAGGTCCTTGCACACAGCACATCGACGGAGATGGTCCTCCTTGACAGGCCAATTGGCAGTTTGGTCGAAACAAACATCTGCACACTGATAAACTCAAACAAAACTTGGTGGTGGGGAGGAGGTGCCTGTAGTCGTTGGCCTTCCCGCCTTCTTCCTGTTCCAACTTCAACCAAGCCTTGAGCAATCAAATCCTGAAACTTGCGAAGTTTGAGTACTTTTGAACCAGTAATTTCCTTTCCCTCACAATCACGTTGGTAAAGAAGCCATGCATTGATCAATCTAACAGACATGAAATGCCAGAAAAGTATTATATACCAGCGACGGGTGCTGATGGGGAATTTACAGCGTGCAAGATGCCGATCCAGCGTGTCAACTCCTCCCATAGAAGCGTTGTACTCCTTGACGATGTTTGGCTGATCAATGTTGGTGTACTCTTTTTTTGGACTTGTCCCGGCGCAGAGCCTTTCCCAAAGGCTCTGGTCCAGCATATGTTGACATCACAGTAACAGTTTTCGTGTCTTGCCATTTCAAACAAACAGTGTTGGTGTTGGACTCGATTCGATAATTGCAGGATCCACTGCCATTTTTAGACAGATCTTTGTCCGTCATCAGATTGCAACTTGGCATGCGATTTTTTCGCACAGTTCTTGTGTAGTAGATGCCCTTTGTCAATAAATGATCAATGAGAGGCATTGAAGTGAAGAAATTGGCGACAATCAGGAAATGTACTTTCTCTGGAAGTGATTCACATAGCTTCAACACAATGTCTCCACAAACTCCCAACTGACTCTTCCCTTTTTGTTCATTACATCCACCTTTTCCCTGATATATGTCAAAGTCATGCAGGAGGCCAGTGACACGGCAGCGCGCCCACAATTTGAATCCCCATGGATGTGGCTTCCCTTTTATGTACTGCCTTATACCACCAAATTTCCCTTTGTAAGGCACCATCATCTCATCAATGGACTGTTTTTGGAGAGGTGTTATGGTCAGGCACTGTCTCCGAAATGAATCCAAAAATGGTCTTAGTTTCCAAAGTCCATCCTTTTTTTTCTTCTTCACTGGCTGTTTTGTTTTCTACAAAGTGCATGACAGAAAGTAGCAGATTGAATCGGTTATGACTCATTACATCTGCCACAGGCCCATAACGAACTTCACTTTCCCAGTACTGACGTACTCCAGAGGTTTGAACTAATCCCATCCTGAAATACATTCCTAGAACTTGTTCTCTCTTTTACTGAAGTGTCTACACATTTCTCATGCTTTTGAACACTGTATTGTTTGTTATGCTCAACAATATTTTGCAACATATCACGGTTAACAAAGCGTTGAAAGTAAACCAGTGGCGTGGCATCCTGGGCATCCTGGTATGACTCAACTTGTTCAACTTGAAAGTTCACATCAGGCAACTCAAAGTTTGTCTTTCTCCACCTGTACGTTTTTGTGATATGTTTTGGCTCCATCTATGGCTTAGCAGTCTTGGCAAATGCCACATCTTCATCACTTGAGGAGTCATTGGACGAGTCACTGTCTTGGGGAGATTCACCACCATCACTTTCATGTGGTTGAAACAATTCATCAGAATCGCTATTGCTGTCCAATTCAGGGCCAAAGTCACTATCATCAGCTAGAAGTTGCTCTAAAACTTGTGCAACTGTAAACTTTTTTTGATGCTCTTGCTGTCCTTTAACGGGAGCAGTATTTCTCCCTAAAAAGACATAGGAATTTACCTTATTAGTCTCTGGCCCTGCACTACTAAGTTAACATTGTGAAATATATTATATGAATGAATTTATTTGAAAACTTCAGCCAAATACTGGAATGAAATCGTTCTCCATCTGCAAAGTCACTCAAAGAACCAAAGGGTCAATTTTAACCCCACTATTTCTAACCCATACACCCAGAGGGTCATTTTTGGCCCATCGTTTTTTAAGCAAGCTCAGAGTTGCTAATTTATCTAAAAAAAACATTAAATGTAGTTCTGAGCTTTCTTCAAGTTAACATTCAACAGAGTAACAAAAACATCAACAATTTTACCAACCTTTAGTTTGCTGAAAAGAGAATTTTGTTTAGGTAGGTTTTTAGCTCAACAAGGCAGCATATGGTCAGCCTTCTTGTCACCTCCATATTGGCTTAGGTCAGGTCAATATTTATCCACTAGGTGTCTCTGTGCAGGGGTCAGAAGGGGCACTCTGGGATTTTGAGAATTTGCTAAAATGTTTGTTCATTTTGGACATTATCAATTAACATACCAATATATATATATATATATATATATATATATATTTGTTAGGGGTGGAACGGTTCACAAAATCCACGGTTCGGCTCACGGTTTTGTGGTCACGGTTTTTCGGTTCGGTTTGGTATATGTTGATTGTTACTTATCCCATAAAATTAATGAAATTAATGAAGAAAATCCCCAAAAATTATGAATTGTCATTATTTTTAATGATCCACGGAAACCATGGATCATTTCCGCATGTTTTGCTGCTTTGAATTTAATCATCTCCCGAATGCCCTCTACGATCTCCAAGGAACTCAGAGCGGAGCAGACGGGAGCCACAGTGGAGGCTGTAGGCTTTGCTTTGTGCAGGCGGTCTGGAGCGCAGCAAGGCGGAGCGGAGCGCTGACGAAGTATGTGGGATTTCGGGGTTAGCATGACATGTTGGTCATGTTGCTGTTATCATAAACAAAACGTGTTGCACAATGCTTGCACACTGTTGCACTTTTATCCACAGCTTTCTTTCCGCCGTCATCGTAGGTCACTCTAAATGCAAAGCGGTCCCATACAGCAGACCTAGAAAGTGCTGCTGGCGCGTCTTCCAACTCCTGTTCTTTCCCACTCGCCATACCCACATAATTCTCCACAACAACTGATTTTTTTCTGCTACACCCGGCTACGCTGCTTCACTTCTTCTTCTTCTTGTTTACTACTGGTGCTTGGCTTTGGTCGCAGTACCGCCACCTTTTGCTCTGGAGTGGAAACGCTTCGCCTATGAGAAAAAGGCGCAGCACATGAACCGAACACAACCCACGCGAACCGAACCGAGACAGTGGACATAATGGTGTTTATATATATATATATATATATATATATATATAAATAAAACATGGCAAATCTGTTCGTCATCTTTACCGTCAACAGACTGCAGCAATGCCAATTAAAGCCTAAATTTAAAAACATAATTATTTAATGTATTTAATGACAGGCGGAAACCCTGTTAGAACAAGCAGCCTCAGTTCTGCAGGGCGTTAGCAGAAAGACACCATCAGACCTGGGAAAGTGTTCACAGAACAAACGTCAGACTCTAACTCTGATTGTTTTCGCTGGGTACCATCAGTTGTTTCATAGGACAGCATGGACAGGAAGAGGAGGATGGGTCTGGGACCAATATGGACACAAAGACAATTAAAGAGATCCTTATATTTGGCTCTTGATTGATGACTGAGAAAAATGCAGCATTAAAAACCTCAAATCTAGAGTCTATTCTCTCTGAGCCCATGTTTCACATTAGCCAATATAACAACAGAGCATGCCGGACAGAGTCAGGTGTGGTTCCTGAGGAAAGGCGGTAGTTCCACAAAGAAACCAGAAGTTAAACCACCTGCTGGTGCGTAGTTTCACACCCCGCAGCACTCACTTCCTTTTTCAGGAACAATTCATGATTTCAGAACAGAGTCTAATGGAGCCGCATGTCCTGGTTTCAGAACTGCTCTTCCCTCCTTGTCCTGTTTCAATGCTCTCATTGGGGAGACATTTGGTTTCTGATATATAAACTCTTTTATGTAGCTGATCAAATATTAGTTTCCATGGCAACAGATATGGTGTGTACTTGAAAGGCAGAAAGACAAGTAGCCCTCCTGGTCCTAAACTACATTTAACTAAAGTCCTCCACCCAAAACTACAACAACATGGGAAGAAGAAAGAAAACTAAAGACAGATTCGGTCTAATTTAGAAATGTAAGCTTTATTAAAGTAAAAATAGATAATATTTTGCTATGGATTGTTGATTATATTTAATTATTTTTTAAAGGACTTTTCAGAAAGCCTAGGATGAATTCCTCCAGCCTGAGCTGTGGGCGTTTAGGGAACAGAGATCAGTCTATACTTAGATCATTTTTCCAAAGTAACAATGGTATGTCAGGCCTGAGGTTTGGGAGGACATGTTGTCCCGATGTGAAATCGCTGAAGCTTCATCAGCTGGAGGTGGAGGTGATTACGTCAAATAAAGGAGGCGGATTGAAACCGCAAAACATCTGAAATATGAAGATTGAATCTCAAATGTCTAAAGCGATTAAAAACAATTATTCTTATCGCCTCAGACACTTTACAGCTGAAGCTGTAGCAAGCTGGCTGACTTTTCCTACATAATGTTGGAAATTTAACTTTTCTAACAAGAAGTAAAGATAAGAACATATGTTCAGTGCTTCAATAATAACCAGCTGGAGGAAGAAGATGAAAAAATGCAGCTTGTGAACCTGTTAGAACCACAGATTAAACATTTGAATAAATGGAAATGAAACACGACTTTCATGATAAATGCTGCAAACTAACTCATATTAAAGAGTTTCATGGGTTGTTAAATATAATTTCTTCATATTCATGATGCACGGTTATGCATGATGCTTAAAAACATCCTAAAGCTGCAGGACTGAATCAAAAGAGGAAGAGAGGAACCGAGCAGCTGCAGAAATGGGCCTGAACCAGCTTTACTTCTGTTTTTACATTCAGACTCTCATTTTGGTACAGAAACCAACATCTGACAGTTAGTGGGGCACAATATGGACCTTCTCTGCTTCTTTGGAAAACAACTTATAAACACAGCTGGCAGTGAACTTATTGCATGGTTCTTCAGGATACTTAAAAAAACAAAACAAAGCAAAACAAAAAAGAAAACCAATTCATTAACTAATCTTCCCATGATTCGCATTGTTAGGAAATCTGTCCATAATGTTTTTTCAGAGGTCCAGATGTGACTCATGGGCTGTTTCACTTATTGCTCAACAACAACATTGAGACAGACTCCATCTGCTCAGACACACAGCCAGACCCGCAGCCTCAAAGTATTCAACCACAGGGGGATTAAAAACGGTCCTCCTGTCGGTTTTAAGGTCAGATAAATAAATAAAAACAAACAGTGACGTTAAATTATTTGTCGTGGGAAACACCGATGCTAACTGTTAGCTTCCCGACAGCCCTCCTGTAGTTTGGTTTTATTTACCCAAAACACTTCAAACACTTCCTGAAACTACTTTAACACAAACATAAAAGTGGTGCCCATATATTTAAACACTTTAAAGTTTTGTTATTCCTGTAAAATAACCTGTTTATCTGACTAACATAACTAGCTTCTAAACCGTAGCAGCATACTAGGCTGAAGTCAGCTTCCGATTTGTTCCTATTTCACAGATTTGAAGTCTGGACTTTTTGATTTTGGCTTCATCTAAAAATCTGACAAACGTAGATCAATATAACTTTATTTTTCTAAACTGAACAGAAGTATTTAAAAAAACGGACCGTGATTTTGGGGAATCCTATTTTTGTAGGATGCTGTTATTTACCCTTTAAATCATCATAGATGGGGTCCTACTGCAGCACTGAAGGAGGATTCATTCTGCAGTTTATGTTGATTCATTACTTACCTGCTCAAATAAAGGGAAATACGCGCAATTTTAAGAAAATTTGGGAATTAGTTAAATTTTTTGCAGTCTGTTTTTAGTATAGGTGCCATAAAAGGGCCAAGACCGGTTCTACAGGGGCACCGCCCCCCTGGTGATGCCTGTCTAGAGCCCCCATGGTTTTGTGACAATATTTTCCACAGTTAAATAAGAACAGCTACAAATACAGGGACTGGACTAAGATGAGGATAAACAAGTTGAAAGATAAACTTTTTTATTTTAATTTCAAATAATTCAGTCTTCTATAAATGTACCTTTCACTAAAGCTGGGCTCATTTTTCATTTAGATGTAATAAAGTTGCATGTTTCAGTGTCATTTGAACAAAAATTAGAATTTAGCTCTTGTAAACAGAGTTAAGCATAAATGCATTCTGTTTATTCTTATACACTTTTGCAGATAATTTAAACTCAAAGTAATTTATGCCCATCAGACGTGGAAACATTAGGAAACTTGTCATTTGAAGTTTCACAAAATAACTGTTTTAATTAACATAAAAACTTAGACCTGTCAAAGTTCTTAGGGTCTAAGATTTAAGGTGGTCCAGTTGACTCAGAAATCAACATTTTTACAGATTTCAAAAAGTAAATAAGAGTTTGTGGTCATTAACTTTTTTTTAAGTTATCTGTATTCACCGTTAAAAAGCTAAACTTTGTGCAAGCTTAACCAAGAAAACGGGTTCCAGGTTCTGGTGTACTTCAGATTAAGGTTCCTTAAAAAAAAAAATCAGAGATCGCCCTCAAAAAACGCTGCGAATCAGATGCGAACTTTAGTACCGTTAGCTTAGCTTATTCACCTGAACATGGGAGACCACCAAGCTCTTGTTTCCTTCTCCGTGGTATTTCCAATCGTTTTCATCCATTCTGTCAAATTCCATCCCACCGCGGAGAACAAACCGAACTCCTGCCGCTCTCCAAAGGACTCTGTGCTGTAGCGCGGTCAGCGTCCTGCTCGCTGTTTCTGGTCCACAGACTGACTGACACCCGGTGTCCTGGCGAGTTCCGAGCCCCACTGTAGCCACGCCCCCTCCAGACCCACGTCCGATGTGCCGTTCAGATGCTTCCAGCAGTTATTGTTTTGGATGATTTAATATCCTAACAGACACAATATGGGACAGAACATAATTTGAGGACGAGGCAAAGATTTTTATGTGAAAGGATTGTATTAATGTTAGACACTTTGCAGACAAAACACTGTCTCGGAGTGAAATTAACCAACTGCTGCACAATTCTAAGCACAGAAAATTCATACTATTTTCTAAACAAA